GACCATCCGTGCCTTCCAACCCCTGCCCCCATCAGCCCTGGGAGAACTTGGGCTTACTATCTCTCCACCAGCACCACCATGGTGAGCACCACTACCAGTGCTCTGGATGCTACTCTCAGCTTCCCTTTGCAGACTGCTGGAGGGAGGGAGCTGGGATCAATGGCAACACACAACCCTCAGCCTCTACACAGAGTCTTATCCCACCCTGTTATTCTCCAGAGATTAGGGGATGGCAGGGGGAGGCTGGAGGAAGCAGTAGAGGTGAGAAACAGAGTTAGTTTGCCCCTTCCTTCCACCTTCACCACTCTTTACCCTGATTCCGAGTCAAAAGGCAAGTTATCTCATTTTCAAAGGGCTGCGATGTGGTGGGGGGATGGCATCAGTGTGCCTTTTAACAGCTACATAAAATGGAAGGATTCTGGTGGGTGCAGCGTCTACAGCAGTGTAAGACTACTGTGGGAGAAGCTGCAAAATCCCTCCATCTGTACAAATATTAAAGGCACCATTGCCCTATCCTAGATGGATCTGGGCAATCTCATGGCACCAGGATGACCCAGCAATGCTGCTCTTCTATGACGGTTCCCATGGGCCAATGTTTAGTCTCTCAGCAACTCAACACAGGAAACACGTCCCTCACCAGAGCTGAGGCATGTTGAGATCTCCCTCATGCTCATAAATCCCCACCTTTCTTACGTTTATAAGAAAAGTAAGAATGGGATGCTCCCAACGTCCTTAATGAGATGGCAAGGTACTGCAGGAGCCATGAACTGTGCTTGGTCCTGCTGTTATGTTTGTCTAAAGATCACTGCTAGCCCATGATCAGGAAACATGCAGGCGCACAAAAGGGATTTTGCAAGATGCCTGAGTTTTCTTCCCTAAATCCTTGCAGACTGTAGTCTTGGAGTCCCTCCCACTGGAAATGGATTTTGACCTCCTCCAACTGGATTCCCACTGTATGTGCATTTCTCCTTCCTGAATCGCTAGAGATCTCCTCTGTTTATTTAACAGAGGATCCTCTTCCCTCAGGTTTCTCTCATGGGAGAAGATTCTCACAGTGAACCTGCTCCCAATATATAACCAAATCATCTTCTCCCGAGGGGTCTCCTGACTAAATGCCTGAAAGAACATATTCTGGACATCTCTCCTGAAAGTTTAAAGGGGACCTTTCCTCAAGTGTTTCTCTCACCCACAGAAAGGATTTCCAAATCCAGACTAAGCATTTACTCCTGGGACTTCCCTTTGGAATTTCCCTCTGTCACCCAAAGAATAACCTTCTGGGAGCCCTCAGTTAGATCCCACAGGAAAAAGAAACCTTGCTGTCTACATGCAGTGCTCACCAAGAATGCATCTCTGGGATCTCGCTCTGCTGGTTTTCCATAGTAAACATATCCCTGAGATTTGGATGGCACACCAGTTGCTACCAAACAACTTTTGCTATCCAAACTGTGGCTCAGGCAAGAGAAGGGAGCTTCTCTTTCAGAGCTGCTGCAGAAAGTTCAGCAAACATGGGTGGCTAGAGTGGGGCAAAGACCTCTGCCCACTGCAGTCTAGCAACTTAGTAAGCATGGACCATTAAACTGCTGAATTTGCACAGAAGGGCTCTTTCCCTAGAACACTACTCGCCCTGCCCAGTCGCGGCAGCACCGCACTACCATCCCCTTGCCTTATTCACCATCAGGTTTCCCCCCACCCAGATCTGCATATTCCTGGTGCTGTTTCTTCCTGCAGAGAGACAACTGGGAAGAAGAAATGTTACAAGATACAGAAAGAATAGCCCTGATTGCAAGGCATCCATCCTCACCTTGTACATATGCATCTATGCTCCCTACTGAAAAAAGCAAAGTATCTTTTCTTGCCATGGAAAGGAGAGCCAGTTTGGAATCTTGGGACTAAGAGCCAGAGTTCCTTTGGCTCAGCTGCACTCACAGGGGAACACCACCAAGGGAAGAAACCTGGTGTAGTTAATACTTGAAGAAAAGCTAGTGTATTCCATGGCGGTGGTAGCTTGTGCTTTGTTGGTGTGTTCTGAGACAGGCAGGCATGGAAAGAGGGCTTCCTAGCTGTGGATTTTTCCTGCAAGGAAGAGATGCAAGGGAGCAGTAGAGTGGCAAGCTGAGGAAGGATACGGTGTGCCTTATCAATTGGTATAAAGCGTATCAGATGGCAGAGAGGCTAGGAGGGAGTAGAAGGTTTTAGGAGGGTGGAGCCCCTTTTAGGTTGGCAAAGTTGGATCTAGGTCAATTTAGCCATGCAGTGCCCTGTTGAAATCAATGGGGTAGATCAGTCATGACTTAAAGTTCCATTGATTTCATTGGGAACTAAGTCTGAACGGATGAGTATGCCAAGTTCAATTCTGCTCAGTCTACCATTTTTCTAACTTTAAATTCATTCCATTGCATTTCCATGTCTGTTGATGATCCTTTACCTAAAAAATCTGCATGTACATTCATATGTACTCTTGTGCACATTTCTCAAAAGGTATGATTTTTGTACACTTTCCCAAATATACATATTTTGTATGCATTTTGCCAAATATATACATTGTCCAAGTGTTTTCCCTAATAAAATACATGTGAGGGGCTTGTTCCCCTAATGCATACATTTTTGTGCACACTTTCCCCCTAATTGTGTACTTTTTGTGTGCATTTTCCTCCTCCACACAGACAAAACTATGCATTTTTGTATGCATTTCTTAAATTTGCAAACAGCATTGCAAACTCTGAAAAGTGCAAATATTGCTGTATAATTGCATTCCAGTTTGGAAAGTGTGTTTTATGCCGAGTTCACATTAAAATGGGAACCAGATGAATTCCTCACCCATTGCTAAAATGCAGTGCAACATACTTTGCCTGGTTCCAACCACATGTTGCTCCAGCCAGATAATCAGTAAACATTCTGCTCCCTGTCATCACTTCTAGAAAACAGATTAGCAAATTACCTATAATGAGGTACTACACCTGGGTGCCACCTCAGGTAATCTGTCCTTCCCTCTGACCTATGCTAACTCCTTGGTTAAAAGCTCTATCCCTACAGCCTCCTGAGGCCCCATCAGAGCTGCAAAGTCATTCCAAATAGCCCGCCAGCCTCTGTTGTTCTTCGTCCCTTCGCCATTGCCCTCCGGTCACTGTCTGCTGCTCACATGGCCACTGACAGCCTTTCCCCAGCTGCGTAAGGAAGACCGGCAGTCAGGCCTGGGACATCCACAGCTGTACAGTGGATGGTGGGCAGCTGATGGCAGGAAAGTGGCATGCGAAGCCCACTGATGCTTAGGCAGTGCAGCCTTCCAGTGTAGCCCATTGATGCTTATACCTTTTCCCCGGGGCTACTTAGATGCTTTCTTAGTTCACTATGCTTTGCCTTCCTATTCCAACCACTTTGCCCCAAGGCTTTCCAAAAGAACTACAGTTTTTGCTCAGGGCCATCCCAGTGTTTCACTGCAGGACTCTCCTACTCTCAATCCACACAGTGTTAGATTTTTCCCTTCCCTCTCCCCTCACTTTGGCCAAATTCTGGTAGAAAGGTGTAAACTGTGACTCCCCCACTGAGGGCCTCGTCATGAATTTCATCCATCCTTCCAGAGTAAGGATCTACAGACTGGCTCCTGCCTCTCGTCCGTAATAAGACTCTGCTCCATAAAGGTGCACAAGGTATCTTAGGAGTGAGTTAGGTGCCGTTCCCTAAGTCATGGTGTTGAGATCAGGACTCCTTGAAATCTCAGAGGTGCTTTCAGACAGTACAGCATCCCTCTCTTCTTGGAAGACAACGGAACATTCTACTGAGCTGCGGGGAACTAGTGCTCGCTCTCATTCTCTCTCTCTCTCCCCCTCTCCTGACAAATGAGAAGAGTTACAGAAAAGACAGGAGACCCCATTATAGGTCCATCTCCCAGCCTCTTCTACGGTGAAGGAGGCAAGAATGCCTTGCAGCAACATACAGCAGTCAATGTTTGTGGGCAGTGGGGGATATGCCAATAAACTGTCCCCTTTTTGCTCTCGTTTCTGCTTGCACACATCTCGGCAAGGATATGGGAGAGGGGGAGCATGGGAGTAGGCCTAGAAGACTCTGAGTACAGAGGGGAAACATTTGGGTGACACCACTTCATTATCTTGACTTGGGGGGGTCCTTTAAATGTTTCCATTTAAACATGGGAGTGAACCAGTTGGATCCAGACTTAGAGCAGAGCCACTGACATCCTTGCAGCTTAAGTTAGCCAAGACTAACTTAAGCTATGTGGATTTCATGACCAAGTTAAACATTACTAACTAAACATCCTATTGAGTTCAATGGGTCTATAAGAATGACTTAAGCCTGGATTCAAGCCACTGTTTTATGACCGGCTCCAGTGCAGCTGAGATAACATTTAAGGGGGCAAACCATGAGCCATGTGGGGTTTTGCTGAAGATTTAGCACCTGTGCTCTCTCCAGAGTGCTAACTCTATACTTGGCACCCATAGAATTGGCCCCTGACAACATGGTTGGATCATTTAAATGTCACCTCCAACTATGTATGAAGCACTCATGGAAAAATGACTCTCATGTTGCTAGGATAACATTTAGTGGACCTCTCTAAGCATAGAAAAGCAAAGGAAAAGAAAGTAGCACCACTACCCCTCACTTTTGTCAGGGGAATGAGCAAAATCCTTTGCCTCTCTGGGATGAAATAAAAGGAAGAGAAAAGTTATGGTTAGTGTCTTAGTCTATGCTGGGTTAGCATCCTTCCCCTCCCACCTATGCTACCTACAAGCCCAGTATCTCCCCTAACTGTTGTCCCCCTCTGTTCACCACAGTATAAAAGCAAGTGCCTCCTCCCCACCATTTGGAGGAGTCGCTATGGTCCCCGTAACACAGTAGGACAATTCATTTCACGTGTTTTTTTCCTGTTCTTTTTTTGTAAACTTTAAGAAATGGTTTTCAGTTTCTTTCATCAGGGCGTTGTTTGTTTCACAGTCAGGTGGGTTTTTGTTTTTTGTGGTTGGTTTTTCTTCCTTATAATGAGACAGTCACAACTTTTGTTGAGCAGAGACACCTTTCCAGTAATCCAAGATATCGTGCAGATCTTCATCCTTGGCAAACTGGACCTTCTTCCTCAGGGCATGGCCGGCTGCCATGTAAACCTCCTCCCGGTGGTGCTTCTTGTAAGGCCGGAAACGTTCCCAGATCTTATGGGTGCTCTCTGAGGAGTATTCTGGGCTGGAGGAATAGCCCGAGAAGTAATGTCTAGGTGAGAGCTGAGAATATGTGGAGTCCCGCTTGGAACGAGAGAGTGGTTTAAGGAAGGACACCCGTTGGCTTAAGGTGTCACCACTCTCCTCATAATAGAGAGCTGGGAAGGAATGCCGGTGTTCACTGCAGTGGTAGGAAGGTTTCACCTCCAGGTGGTGGATCGCACCTGGGGACACAAGGGGAAGACGATCCAAGGGGCTGTTGAGTGGGCTTCCTTTCTCAATGTACTTGGAGTCTGCCTTACTCAAGGGTGGATGGTCAGGTACATCAAGGCTGAAGACCTTAGCACTCTTGATGGAACCACTAGAAGAGACACTGCAGGTTTTCCTGGTCACAGCAGCATCTGCACTGAGCTGACGCTGCAGGGGATGGTGGGAGCTCTCTTTGTAGGGTGGTGAGAGAAAACTTGGCCGTTCCAACCCACCTGAGGAGCTAGCCGGTATGGGCTGGCACTCATAAGCCATGTCAGAGTCAACACCACCCCCTCCCCCCAAGAAAGAGGCCGTGTCCAGTTTGAGAGCATCAATGCAGTTGTTGATTATCTGATTCACCTTGTCCACTTCCTTGGCAATTGTTGAGATTTCAGCAGCTGAACCTTGCCCATTGTCCAGTTCATGCAGGTCATCATCCCGCTGTGACCTGTCCAGCCCATCCCCACCACCTGTCCGAACCTCAATGTAATTGCCCTTGGTGGTGACCTTGGGAGTCTCCATGCCAGCTTCCATAGATTTGGATGAAGGCATTTTCTCCCCAATCATGGATGGAAGAGAAGACATCCGTGAAACAGGGATGACAGGGGGCTCTCCCAACTTCTGAGAGGGATGTACAATTGAACTGGTATCGATATCTGAGCCATAACGCATCTCCAAAATTGTTTTCTTGACATTGAGGGATTTTTGCTTCTCCTCTTGCATCCTACGCTTTCTCAGACAATAGTAGACAATGCCAAGGATAATAACCATCCCAAAAAGGCAGCCTAAGATGGTCATGATATAGTGGGTAGTAGTGGAGGTGCTGGGCATTGGCTCCTCTCTTCCTTTGCTTCTGGTAGCAAAGGATAGGCAGGTGTGATTATAACGTTTGGAGTTGCGAATAGAAGCCACACAGAAGGTATAATCCGTGTGAGCCTTTAGGTGGGTGAGAGTGACGACCTCCTTCTTTTTCTTCAGAGTCATTACATCAGAGATGTAGCTGTTATTATACTGAACCAGCACGTACATCTTGCTGAAGGGTGATGGGATTGTCACCACCAAGGCAGCTGAAGTTATAGTCACCTGCTGGAGCTTGATGCTGGGATTGAAGGAAGAATCTGTGGTGGAAGATGCGGGAGGTTCAACTGAGAGGAAGTCCCCGGGGCTGATGCCTGAGTTCTCAGCATTGTCATCTGGATCCCTCTGAGGATCTGTGATCAACTGTGTTGGTTTGATCCTGGAGATGGGAGGGAAAGTGCCATCCCCACACATTGACTTGAAGATGGTGATGGCATTGCGGCTGTGGTGGGGTCGAGGCATGAGAAGCGGGTAGCCAGCAAACTCCCGGGGTGTCTCACACTGCAGACGGTCATAGTTTTTTGTGACATTGTTGAAGGCCACCAGCCACATGAGGAAGCCATAAAGGTTGCAGTCGCAGTTGAATGGGTTCCCAGCCAGTTCACACACCATCAGGTTGCTCAGGCTGGTGAAGGTGCTCCCCTCCAGCCGGCTGAGGCGATTGGAGGACAGGTCAATGCTGATGAGGCTGGGACATTCATTGAAGGCATTGGGGGTAACCACCTCGATCAGGTTGTGCTGCACGAAGAGGAACTGGAGGCGGCCCATGCCCCGCAGCATACCCTCTGTCAGGTTGGTGAGCTTGTTGTAGCCCAGCTGCAGCACCTGCAGGTTGGACTGGCCCATGAAGGCGCCATCCTCGATGTAGGAGATCTCATTTTTGGTTAGGTTGAGGTCAGTCAAGTTCCCAAAGCGGTTGAGTGAGGAATAGAGCACCACCTTGAGCTTGTTCTCATTCAGCCGCAGGTCATGCACTGTGCTGTTGATGTGCTGGGGGATGGTCTCGTAGGGAGGCTGGTTCTGGCTGCAGATTGCAAGCCACACATAACCTTTGTCTCCCTCAATCAGCCAGCAGTCACTGTAGACAACGCCGGGGCCAAAAATACAGAGCAGGGTAGCCACCCAGAATCCCAGACGAAGCATGTTGGGCTACAGTGCCCCCTTTAGGCCCAAAGAGGCAAAAACACAGCACAAAAGGTGGGGAGAAATGGTTAGAGACCCCCTAGGAGCTTAGCAATTGAAGGGTAAGTGAACCCCAGTTCTGTGTGTCGGCAACATCATCACAATTGTCTGTTTCACACACACGAGATGCTGATGAAACAGACCTGCTCTGGTGGCCAATTAGGGCAAAAAATGTACGTAATGGGAGGGGATGTATTTGTGCTTCTTCTCAAAGCCAAACAAAAACAAGACACTGAACAACAAATCTTCTTTGTGAGACTCCTCCGCACCCGCCCCTCCACAACAACATGACGCAACTGGGAGAACAAGGCAGAACTGCCTCGGAGTCGCTTGGGTGCCACTTCCTCCTCCTCCTCTTGCAGGTCCTTTCCAAAATGCTTCAAAACTTCAGATCAAATGTGTCGAAAATACGCATGCACCAGAAAGAAAAAACAGAGAGAGCAGTGGAAATTGTGGTGGGGAGAGAAGCAGAGAGAAAGAGAGAGACAGAAAGGGAGAGAAGGATCCATCTGTCGTTGAAATCTGGAAAGGAAGCACACAACAGAGAAGAAACATCAGTTGGGGGCTTTGAAATATGAAAAAAGACAGCTAGGTTTGTAACTTTCACAGGGATGAGGAGAAGCTGGGGGGAGAGCAGTGGGAATGGGGAGGGTGGGTGTCGGCTGGATTAGTATTCCTGCTATGTTGATAGGCTTTGGCGAAGGGAGCCCTTGTAACATAATCTTGTATATCAGTGATAGCCAGAAGGGTACTTGGGTTTGGTTATGTAACAAAGTCATAGTCTTGTTGTGAGGAGGGGGGGTGGAGAACGTGGAAGAAGTGGGAGAAAAAAGGAGATGTACAGCTGTGTTTCAATCAGCTTAGCATACCCCTCCTTCCAAAGGCGATTTTCAGCTCTCCCTATAAAGAAAATCTCTCTCTCGGTTGTGCATGCACACATACAAGATAAATAAATAAGGCTTCTAACTAAATGCTTTTCTCTTCCTTGATGCAAAAAAGATAAATAATTCATTTGTTGTGTAACCGCTCTTGTTCCGAAAATAATTCTCTCGCCTTAGTGGAGATTGTAGGGGGGGAGGGCAATATGGTCTTGGAGAGTACAGACTGTGGAGGGGGGGCATCTTTAATTGGTATAGAGAAGCATACAGCTGTGATGGTCACAGCTGGGCTCAGTGCATGCTGAGACACAGGGAAGCTGTGTCAAGATGCAGAGCTAGCTATCTGTGGGGCTCAATTTATCCCGTTTGGGACTGAGAACATCACCACCACTAGGGGAAGTTTGCTGCACCCAAGTGAGTGCAGGAAGCACACATTAGACCAGGGCTATCTGTGTTTCTGCAGTTTAGTGATGATCAGGCAGTGTGGCACTTAGTACTGGGTGTACAATTTGACAGGCTGAGGACCTGAGCTTTTCTCTTTGTGGTGGAAAAAAACCCAAATTGATAAAAAGGCTAGATGTTTCTAGACCTCAAGGCTGCCGAGATATGCCAAGTAAAATTTGGAATGCTATGGAAGCATCCCGCTTGTCTCCTGCGGATGTTTTGTACATATAACAACTCCCAGCATTTCTGCCCATTGACTATGCTGGCTGGGGAAGACGGAATTTGAAATCCAAAATAAGTGGAGGATACCAGCTAGGGGAAGACTGAATGGGAGTGGGGGGTGCAGGGGCTGAACAAGATTCCCAGAAGTCAGGCCATGAGTTTTTAATGGCCTAAGATAGTTCTTGCCAATTTGCCTTTACTAGCAGAAGCACAATGGGCTACAGGAGTCTGCTAACTTGCATAATTGGAAGAGACTGCAGAATTTGGCATTTCTGAATGCAGAATTCAGTTACCTTGGTACAGATTTTATTTTATTTTTATTTTTGATGTGCCAAGTATACATAGCCCTGATTAGGCCACTGTTCTCCAAACCATAATGTAGTACCAGGTCTTGGTACCACAAGGTGAGACAAATAGGCAAGAACATATGAACAGCCCTGATGGACCAGCCCAACAATCCATCTCAGTCCAGTACACTGGCCAACTGGATACTTCCAGAATGGTATACAGAATTATGCAGGAGCACAGGAAGCCACCTTGTACTGGATCAGACGATGAGTTCCTCTGGCCCAGTACTGTCAACATGTCCATGGTTTTGGGCAAGAATTTTTCCAACCCTGCCTGGAGATGTTGGGGCTCAAACCCAGGGCCCAACATCTGTTTTACTGTACTGTACAGTTTTAAGTTTGACAAATGGGCATTACAGGTACCTAATAAACCTGGGGATGTCTGAATGTCTGAACTTCAACACCCCTGTAATATGGGATTCACCACCTGCTGTCATTGCCTTGTGATTGGAATCTCCATGACCCACAGGTAAGTCAGGCGTCTCCAAGGAAGGGGCAAGTGGGGCACAGCCAAGACTCGGCTTGTGCCCCACCCCAAGCACCACCATAGTAAATCCTGAAAAAAATCAGGCAAGGACCCTTCAAATCATTGCAGCCAGGGCAGAGCTAAGAAGACATGTGTTGGCTTAATTGCCAGGACAAAAAAGCAGACCCTCACACCAATCTTGCATTGCTCCCCCACAAGGAGTTGGACTGCTTTCAGCTGGAAGGCCAGATTCAGTTCCAGAGCAGGCCTCAGGAGCCACTGTTCAGTGGTGGGTAGATGCAGAAGTGATGAGGTGATATCCCAGCATCCCAGCCTATTTTAGGTAAAAGCTCTTGCTGCCAGGAAATAAGCATTAAGAAGGGCATCTCAACTTTTTAGATAGGGAAAAAAGCAGTGCATTGTCCAGAAAACACCAAATTATGAGCCATTGAAAGAAAGTGGTGTGGCTAGCTGGGCATGCTTGAATTGGCAAGCCAGATTTCACCCATAGTCCTGAGCTTCAATGCCCCTACTATAAAGATTCACAACTAGGCTGAGCCAAATGCTTGCTCCATTGGGCTTCCAGATAAGTAGTTTTGATAGGGTGGACTTTAGTTAAAAATAGTAAAAATATTTTTAAGCAGTTTTGATTATGCCACTCTTGAACAACTATTCTAAGACTTTTCTTGGCCCCAGAAGATCCTGTGGGTTTACGCAGCCTATCAGAACAGGAGATATCCAAGGCCAGCATGCCCATGGGAGTGAGTCAAAAACTAAGATAACTTAATGCTCCTGTGGGTTTTCCTGTTCTGCGGATGCCCGGCCTGCTGTGGCTGCTGACAGGAGCAGCTTTTTACAGACATTAAAACTGCTGGTATTAGCAGCTACGTGCCAGCAGCAGAATCCGCTGAGACAGGGTGCCCAAGGGAGCCTTCAAGCTGCTTCCAAAGTGCCTGCATGAGGCCTGTGTATCTGATTGGGAGTTGGAAGCACATGACCCAAGAGGATGGTGCCCAGCAGGACCTTCTAGGAAGCAACTTGAATGCTCTCCGGAGAGAGTCTTATTTAACATATGGCCAAAAATATTTTAGAGAAGCTGCCAAAAAAAGGTGGCAGGGATAGGGGACTGAAAAAAGGTTTTCCTCATCAAATAGGAAATAAAAAAAGTGATTAATCTGGCTCACCTGTATTCGTAATGTTCCATAGAATATTGGCTTAATTTGTAATTTTTATTTATAAAAAGTACACACACACACACTTCCGAATACATGTATCCCTCATTGTGTTGCATATGTCAAGGAGGAATGATTTCTCCAGAGGGCCTTGTTTAAGTAACATCATTTGAAACTTTACTTTTTTAAAGGGCTTTTTTAGTGAGTGGAACATATGGAAGTATGTAGCATGTATTGAGGATAAAATGTATGAGAACCCAGTGTACAAAAATGTCATAGTATAGATTTTAATATTTAAACATTTGCGTTGCTGCAGCATCACCAGAATAGGAAATCCTCTACTGGTCATATGTGATGCAGTGAAGTTCAAAGAAAAAATAAAGAAAATGAAAGATATTTTTTAGTTTCTTAAGGGTGTGTGTGTGTGTGTATTATTTTGTTTTCAGAAGGTCCTTTACTAAGGCCATCACTAAATCCTTTATTCCTACAGATACACACACACACACACACACACACCCCAATAAAAAGAGAGAAAGCGCAGAAAATAAAATGCAGGAAGGAAAGGATAGCGAGAGAAGAATGCAGACTGTTGAGGAACTTAAATTAATCTGTGCAGAGGGAGATCTGAGCTGATTTGGGTCTGCTGAATTACTAGGGCAGCTGGATTAAAGGATCACAGACTGAGCAGGAGAAAGAGGAAGTTGAATATTCTACAGCCCAGAACAGGGAGCCCAGATGAGGACCAGGAGGACCAGGACCAGGACCAGGAGGAGGAGGTTGAAAGGGTGAAGTAAGCAAAGAGAACACCTGTGATCCCTAAGGATGACAAGATCATTGGACATGTGACAGGACCTGGTTTGTTGACACAGAAGAGTTCATGTTGGCCAGAGGGTTCCCATAACACATTGCCAAAAAGCACCACTGCAAACAAGGTTACTGATTACATGGTACAGATAAAATTTGCGTTATTTTGTATGTATGGGTACAAATCTAGAAGGAATTGCTATGATTTAAATATAAATGTGGAACACTTATCACAGTGTAGGAAAATTGGAACAGTAATGGCGAACCTTTTAGAGACCGAGTGCCCAAACTGCAACCCAAAACCCACTTATTTATCGCAAAGTGCCAGCAATGCAATATAACCTGAAAACTGAGGTTTTAGTTTAGAAAAAACAACTCATAGGCAGACCAAACAAAAATATATATATCCTTGGCAGTACACTGACCAACCATGCGAAAGTTCGAATGAGTCATGGCTAATGATTCGCGGCTCCTGACGGCATCAGCTGGCGCCACTATTCATTCCAAGCATGAGCAAGGCCCCTATGCACGCTGTTATCCGATGTTCAGCTGCTAGGGTGATGCTGGGGTGACTTGGTTCGCATGCTGACAGAAAGGGCTCTGCGTGCCTGCTGTGGCACATGTGCCA